TGGTATTACAATGACTTTGGGCTCAACAGTCACTGTCTCATCTAGTAGTGACTTTATTTGACAACTGTGAACTTCATTCCTGTTTCCTTGTGTCTCAGAGTATTTGTCAGTCTCCATTCTGGAACTATGGAAGAGAATGTCTTAAATTCTCAGACACCTGACTCCAGAAAAAGGACATTAAATATTCTTCTCCAATACCATTAACTCACATGCATCAAGTCTGTCTTCTGTGGTCTTCCTTACTCATTGTCCAACTTTTACATACATATAAGACTATTGAAAATACCATGGCTTGGGTCAGGCACAACTTAATCCTCTAACTGATATCTTTGCTCCTGAACATTATGCAGCAGATTTACCAAATGCAATATAACATTTAATTTATTGACTGTTGCTTCCATGAGTGTTGATGGTGGATCCAAGCAAAATGAAGTCTTTGACAACTTCAATATTTTCCCCATTTATCATAATGTTATTTACTGATCTCATTGTGAGGATTTTATTTTCTTTAAACTGAAGGCTGTGGTCTTTGATCTTCATCAGTAAGTATTTCAAATCCTCTTCATGTACCATGTTTGTGACCTTAATAGAGAATTGACATAAAGAAGGAAGAGCATGAGTGGAGTGTGAGATCCTACATCAGCAGAGATGGCAGCATAGGCGATTACATGGAGAGATAGAGCAGCTACTGGCTCTTGGCCAATGGACTGAGTAAGGCTATGTGTTTGTGGGCAAGACACTGACTTACTGAATGTGACCTTTTTAGACACTCAATATGTATTTTTGTTTTGTACGTATGCATCAAATATTTTTGCTTTGTTCATTTGTGAAATATAAAATATAAAAGGGAAACCATGGGGAGGAAGTAGGATAACTGTTATTGCAGGAAGGGGATTGTAATCACTGAGATGAAACAAAGCGAATAATGTGTTGAATATGAAGCTGATGATCTTGTCTGTTAACCTTCATTCAATTCACAATAGAAAGTTTAAAAAAAAATTTTAATGAAAAAAAAAAAAGATATATACGAGAGAGAGAGAGAGAGAGAGAGAGAGAGAGAGAGAGAGAGAATCCTGATGTGGTGCTGTGGGCTAATTCATCAGACTGCAAAGTCATTTGAACTGCAAGGTCGGTGGTTCAACCTCACCAGCTGCTCCTTGGAAACACTATACAGGGTTGCTATGGGTTAGAATTGACTTGACTCGACAGCACTTAACAACAACTATATATATATATATATAGTTAATTGGCAGTGAACTTTGGGTTTTGTTGGGTTGTTTTTTTTTTTCAGTTTTAAGGTCTCTAGCAGAAACTCTAACTCCATTTTTGAGTCTTGACATAAATTGATTCCATTTGAGTCCCTCAACTGTGTGGTTATGCTCTGAAAAATCCTGGGCAAGCTCTGGAAATGGCAGTTTGCCCTCAGGAAGAGTATAACTGATAGAACATTAGCTACCATGCAGAAAGTGCCTGGGCTTATTCTTCTTCCACAAAGAATTTACCTGGGCATGTCCTTAATGATTTACTCACAACAATCAATCCTATAACCTTTTTCAACCTGCAGTTAAGCACTGTCCCAATCATGGTCCTTCTTCTTTCTGTACTCCCCAGTCATGATCTTTGTTCTCTATCATGTGTAATGAACACCATGACTGTAACTCAGTAGATTCCATCAGCCTCTGTGATTGGCACATGTTGACGGTTTATGTCATCTGGATTGTTTACAGCTTAAAAGAGTTTCTGTAGAATACTATCAAATATATGAGTTTTCCCCTTAGCACAAGATACAGCTTACTCCAATTTAAAGCTACATCCTACTGTTACCTGTTAATTCTACATCTGACCAAGGTTCTCGGTTCAAAGGTGGAATGTTTGCCAATTAAAATTACTCACTTGGCTCATGCATGAGTTTCTCACCATATTTTATATAAAAATAATGTTAATGCTCAGATCCACAAAATGCACAAAACTGTGACAGGCCATAAAATAGAGCCATGTTTTGGAGTCACTATTTGAGATTTTAATAGTGAACTAGCTGGAACCAAAGACCCTTTCATTCCTCAGGCTCAGGTCCTAAGTCATCGCTGGGAGGCTGGTCCCTTGTAATTTAAGTTATGGGGAAGCTGTTATCATAAGACCTGTAGGTCTTACATAGTGGCTGCTAGCCCTATGTAAGACCTACAGGGTAACTATAAGAATGAGTCAAAAAATTATCTGCACTCTGGCTGTAGAATTTATTTAAATCAACTTTTAGAGAAGAAATACATTGTTTATCTACATAATCTTCTTGCTTTTCAATACACTTTACTCATTTGTCAACAAACCTTCGTATTCCCTTATTTAGGTGTTTTAGGCTGAGCTGCAAGCCACAAATGCACCACTGTGTTCACTTCTTCATCAGAGGTGATTTTTTTGTCCTCAAATAGCTGCTTCCAGGGGACGAAAAAGTAAAAGTCCTATGTAACAAGATCAGAACTACAGAGAGGATGCTTTAACACTTCAAAATAAAGTTTTGGAGAATATCAACAGTGTGGACAGAGGTGTGTGGATGTGCATTGTCATGCAAAATCACCAGGCCCTTGGATAGCAGTCCTTTGCATTTAATCTGATGTTTAGGTTACAGGTCTTCAGTGAGCATCTCACTGTAATAAGCACTGTTGATTGTTGAACCTATTTCCAGATACTGTTTAATACTGGCCCTTGAGAATCACAGAAAACTGTAAGTATCAATTTACCAGCTGATGGTTGACTTTTGAACCTTTTCTTGGTGGTGATAGAGGATGTTTCCGTTCCATACACTGCCATTTACTCTCAGGCTCATAATGATGAATCCATGTCTTGTTGACAGAACAGGGATCTAAGAAAGGAGGAGCAGATCCAACAACCCCCACTTCCCTCACCTCCCCCACCCACCATTACTGCCAACAACTACAGGTAGACGACAATAACTAATTAAGGAGACAAAAAGAAGAAAAGCCTATTAGGTACTAAGACCTGAAATGGACATTTTAAAGAACAAATACCCCCTAGACAGCCATGGTGCTGTGGGTTAATGCATCAGACTGTAAAGCTATTTGAACTGCAGGGTTGGCAGTTCAAGCTCACCAGCTGCTCCTCGAAAAGCCTATACAGGGTCGCTATGGGTTGGAACTGACTTTACAGCACTTAGCAATAACAACAAGACAGCCATGTTCCACGTCTGTCTCACTAGCTTTCAGAGATAGACCTGCTTGCTTATTGAGTGTACTTTAGCCTTCTATTAAAACTGCTTTCTCATACTCCTTTGTCTTGTTCATGTCTTGAAACCTGACACCTCACCAGAATCTGCAACTCCTTGTTAGAAGTCCAAAATTCCCTTGGCACATTTGGTAACACTGTCACCAGTACAATTTTTTTTTTTCTTAAAAAGAACTGGGTACAATTTGATGAACTTGACCTACACCTATGGATACAGTAGCTCAAAAGAGGAACAAATCTTTACAACAAGGATCATTCCCACCCCCCCAGAGTAGACAGGGATGGGCAACTTGGACATTGGATACCCAAAATGGGGGGTGTGGGGGGGTGGAGGGGCTCCAAAGGCATGAAGTGACTGGCTTACAAGCTTTCAAGAGGGAACCTAGATCCAGAGGGCATGAATGAAGGTACAATCTCCACTGAGTAGTATCCAATCTGTCTAGGCGGGGTTGATGAAATGAAATGCAGATAGGTCTCTTGTGATACAATGGTGAATATTGTTATCAGGACTGATTGTGTGGGCTGGAAATGTAAAGGTAGACAGACGTTTTGTAGAAAGGAGGGGAGTGACTCACTTTGAAGTCTAGTTGCAGAGGTCCCTGGGACCATCAAGGGAAAAGAGAGGAGAGCAGGACTCTACCCAGAGAAGCAGTGATGCCTGAGATGGAGGCAGAGACGATGACCTGGAGAAATGGAGCAGTTGGGGACTTTAGATCCAGAAAGAGAGGGGGCGTGGAGGAGGTGTGTACCCTTTGGTTGGCTGATGATGCATGGAGGGAATTGTAACCATAACAACAAAACAATATACAATAGGATGAATGTAAAACTAATGTTCTCCCATGTAAATTATCACATAATTCACAATAAAACATTAAAAAAAAAAAAAGCCCCAAAACCTGGTTACCTTCCTTGAAGTTTGCAGATGTCCAAATGCTTCTGTTTATGCCCTTCCTTGAGTAGTTTCAGTGCCCAACTCACACAAACTTTTCAAAACCCAAGTCTGTCTTGATGATATCATAGACAGAGTCATGGTTGATTTGCTACATAATCCACTATCATTGGGCTGTTCAACAGAATCATTTCACGTGCATGCCCAATGTCATCACCTGTGGATATGGGAGGACGTTGTAATGTAACCAGAGTGCAGGTAATATTTGACTCACCTGCATACAACTTTAAAAGTCAAAGGAGGCAAGGTGAGAGAAGCAAGGCGCCAGTGCTCTCCATAACTAGAATCACATTGAGGATTCCAGCAGGGTGCTGCACACCAGCATTGGGAAAGGAGTCGACGCGAGCATGTTGGTTTCAGGGTTTCTGCCTTCACGTTGGGACACAAGCTATGGCTGTGGGTTGTGCACGTGAGCCAGAAGCTTCCGAAAGCAGGTCCAGGAAGGCGAGAATTGGGGTGGTGCGCAAGACTGGAGCTTCAGGGGAGGGAGCGTGTACAGCTCAATCCCACACGTGGGTGGGAGTTGGAAATGGCGGGTGGGCGTGTGGCCTCGCCGGTTGGAGTGGAGGGGAGAGAACGCTTATACCGGCTCGCTGGCGGTATAGTGCGCGGGCGTGAGTGCTGGCTCGCCGGCGGGTGCAGTTTGTGTGCGGGCGTGCGCGCCCGCGAGCCAGCGGTGAGGTCGGAGGGGGGAGTGCCTGCTGGTTCGCCGGCGGGGGTAGACAAGGCGTGCTTGCAGGCTCGCCTGCGGATTTGGAGGTAGGGGTTCGCACACAGGGTCGCCAGAGGCGTGAGGGGGCGGAGCTGTGTCGCAGTCTGAGCCCGCCCTGGGGGCTGCCAAGGTGCGTCTCCAGGCTGACGCGGTCGCCTGGGGCAGAGCGAGTAGGACGCGCCGCCTGCAGTGCTGACTGGTGCTCTTTATTTACTAGGAAACACTGTTTCCCCGCGGGAGAGTCCGGGAACGCGCAGGCACACACACATACACACGCGCGCACACACACACACACACACATATACACACACACACACACACACATGCGCGCTCGCGCTAGCGCGCTCGTTCTTCACAACTGCCTCGCCAAACTGGCAGAGCGAAGCTACTGCGGTTTCTCTTAACCTCAGCATCGTGGGGCGAAGCAGAGCCATTGTGCATCAGGGAGAGCCCGGTGCCTGCGCTGCAGCCTCGGGTACTTAACCCAGCAGACCGCTCGCCCCATCGGGTAAGCTAGTCTCTCTCCTTGTGACCTGTTCGGGGTTGGTGCCTGCAGACGGAGGGAGAGGGTGGGAGACTGCTGATGCGCCAGTGGGGACGGGATCTGGAGGGCACGCAGCCCAAGCAGTCTCTACCAGCGTCATCTAGTGGGAGCATTTACTACTCTGGTTACTTATTCTACCAACCCTAGAGTTGCTCTCTCTCTTCTTCCCATCCCCCCCAGCCCAAATGTTCTGTGCTCCTTGGTTGCCTAGGAGACTTGCTTAAACAGCCTTGGGGCATCTATTGAAAGACCTGGTTTCTTAAATTATGTTATTGGTTTTGATTTTTAAAATAAAATATATACTGAGGACTTCGTGGTAATTTGGCATTCCTTAATCTGTATTCGGATGACGGTTTCATTCAACTTCAAGAAAAGAGGTAATTGTACTATATGCTATGCTGATAAAAGGATTCGTCAAATGAATTTTTCAATGGATCGTATCTTGAATCATAATAACACCCATTTTGGTGATCTTCAAAAAAAAAAAGCTGATTTCAATTTTGCTACCTTTTCCCTCTCTATTTCCACATTTTATTTTGCAGTTCACTCAGGCAGGATTATTTTAACATTAAAAGCTGAAGATGGTTTAATTGTGGTTCCCCACACAAGAATGATCTGTTGTAAATTGATCAGAACAGGTATACGTATTTGTGAATCTATAATGAAATAAAACAGCCTTCTTGACATACATATCTTTAATGTATACTGCATCATTCATGATCTAAATGCATTTGTCTGCAACTCTGACCATATCTGAGAAGATTGTGTCAAATCTCTGATTTTTTGATAAATATATCTATATCTAAAAATAAATCTCTAAGAAAAAATATGTCACGGTACTATATCTAAATAGATAACAGATGTAATATTCCTGCCATGCTTAATACTATAGATTTTGAGCTTTTAGAGCTCATATAAAAGTCTACTGAAGAAGGAAGCACAGAAGCTTAGTAGACCGTGTTTTTTTTTATGATGAACTGGACCTTTTTATTGGGACATTGAGTGATGGCCAAGAGAAGGTCAGGGTTCCTTTTTCACGGGAGTCCCACATAGCTGGGTTGTCATTTTTGCCTGGAGGCCCCAAGTGAACTTAAATTACAACACTTGAAGGGATCAGCAATCCAGTCACAATACTTGTACTATTTTCACATCTTCTTCAAATTCAGAAATGACCTAGTGAAGATCCAGTGGTGTTTAAAAGTATCTACTTCATTTAATTTTCTTCCGATGTTTGTTCATTTTTTTCTACCTCTTAATGAAGAAGGTAAGAGAATATATCAAATTCTTTTGATTTAGATTTGGAACAGTTTCTTGCAGAGTTTAGTCATATAAGCACAAGGAAGCCAATTAATGACTGAGGTAAGTAGCTAGGATTTATGCAAGGCAGTGAATTGAAAAATGAATTAACAGTGGTAAGCATGTTACTTTACAGTTTACAAAACACTTTTTTTATTCTTCATTTTAAAATCCTCATAACATTGTGAGGTCAAGGAATCATCTTCCGTTTAAAGGGGAGAGACCTAAACTAAGACTCAGAAGTTAAAGAATTTATCTAAGGTCATGGAGCTAATGAATGGGTAAGCTCCTTTTGGAACCAAGTTCTTTGACGTAAAAAAAAAAAAAAAGTATGTTTGCACTTCAGATGTCTGAAAGATAAGATGTATGAGGCATTCTAGAACTTGAAAATTTGTGTAAATCGGGTAACTTCTACTTAATTGTTGTTGTTATTGTTAAGTGCCGTTGAGTTGGTTCTGACCTATAGCGACACTGAACAGGGTTTCTGAGGCTGTAAATCTTTACGGGAGCAGAAAGCCTCATCTTTCTCCCTCGGAGCAGCTGGTAGTTTCGAACTGCTGACCTTAAGGTTCACAGCCCGATTCATAACCACTACGCTACCAGAGTTCAATTGTAGTCGATTGTTATTGCCCAGTGCTCCAAAAACATTCTAGTTTTTCAAGAAACATATGCAGATTTTTTACACAACATGTCCTTAACATTAAAAACATTAAAAATGTACCTATGGGCCACATGTGACCTGTAGCCTTTTTTTTTTTTTTTTTGCAGTACATGTCTACTGAGGTCTCCACCAATGGAGACCAGGTCACATGTGGTCCACAGGTAAGGAGTCCTGGTGTGGCTCTGTAGGATCAACCCTGGACTGCTAACCTCAGGGTTGGCCATTCAAACCCACCAGTGGATCCTAGGAAACGCTATACAGGCTAAGAGTTAGACCCAATTCGATGGCACTTAACAAAAACAATTTTCAAATAAACGGAGTCCTGCTGGTTCGGTAAGATAAGCACTAGACTGTTAGCCACAGGTCAGCAGTTCAAATCCACTAGCTAGTCCCAGGGAGAAAGGTAAGTCTACTGCTATGAAAGATTTACAGCCTCAAAAACCCTATACAGTGTTGCTATGAGTCGGCTAGATGGCAGTGGGATTCTCTAATAAAATACTCCTGTGATCAAGTGTACATTATTATAAGAATAGTTAATTTTCTGGTTTTATTACTTAAATCTCTAAAAGATTGCTCACATTCTTTCTTCAATAAAGCAGCCTATATTTGCTTTTAAGTTTGCTACTTATTCTGCTTACACATCCCAGAAGATAAAACAGCATGAAGTGCTTCAAAATGGGAATTTTGCAATCTATTGAAACAAAACCATTTAATAAAACTTCTTACATCCCTAGCTTAATATTTTTTCTTGGCCAGAAATGAGCATAGAAAACCTTCCTATCTGCTGTTGTAGGAAGAGGTAGAAAAAAGAGTTGGTCAGAAAAAGGAGTATGCTGAACCTTTCAGTGATAAATTCCTATCACAATTTTAGGCTATTAGTGGTGTGGTACTGTAGTATCAGCACTGGACTGCAAACCACAACGTCAACAATTCAAACTTGTTAGCTGCTCCTTTGAAACCCTAAATAGGGCCGCTATGAGTCAGAACTGACTCCAAGACAGCTAACAACAACAACACAGAATAGTACAAGATTCCAAAGAAACAAATATATTAATGGAATACATGAGTGACAGGGGTTTCTGTGGCAAATCATTTATAAATCAGCTATGGCTGTGCTTGTGAAATAATCCATGACAGACTTAGGTTTTGAAAAATTTGTGCGAGATGGGTACTGAAATAACTCACTGTATAAGCAAAAGCATTTGGACATCTGCAAACAAAATTTTGATTGAAGAAAGGTAAACATTTCTTTAAAAAAAAAACGCTACTGGTGACAAGACTTGGATTCATCACTTATAAACCTGAGAGTAAATGGCAGAGTATGGAATGGAAACATCCTCAGTCGTCGAATCAAGAAAAAGTTTAAAGGTCAACTATCAGCTGGAAGATTGATGCTTACAGTTTTCTGGGATTCTCAAGGGTCAGTATTAGAACACTATCAAGAGAAAGTGCTTGAAATAATCAACAGTGCTTGTTAAGGTGAGATGCTCACTGAAGAGCTGCAGCCTAAACTTCAGATTAAATGCAGAGGACTACTATCCAAGGGCCTGGTGATTTTGCATGACAATGCATATCCATATATTTCTACCCACACTGTGGACACCAAAAACTTCATTTTGAGGTGTTAAAGCATCTTCCTGATCTTGCTGCATCGGACTTGTACCTGTGTGATCCCCTGTAAGCAGCCCTTTGAGGACAAAAATTCACCTCTGATTAAGAAGTGAAGACAGCAGTGCATTTGTGGCTCACAGCTCAGCCTAAAACATTTTAAAGCAAGGGAATGCGACAGTTTGTCAGATGAACAAAGTATTGAAAAGCGAGGAGATTGTCAAAAAATGATGTTTTTTTCTTTTCTAAGAGTTAATTAAAATAAATTCTACAGCCAGACTGTGGATAATTTTTGACTCACCCGTGTACAAGATTCTGTAGAAGAACAGACAAAGGAAAAAATTAAAAAAAAAAACAACTTTTTTTGTCTTCAATTGTGAAGGTTAGTTCCTTTGTTGGAGAGAGATTATCGAAAGATGAGAGGTGATGCCAGGCAATGAGTAGGAAAGGTGGGTTAAGAATAATGCTAGTGATAAGTGATATTGGTAAACTAATCCCGTAATTGAACACTTGCTGTGGAAAGATAAGATCTCCAAGATGAAATACATCAAGAAAATGGAACTGAGAGTGAGTGGGGTGGGAGTAGGAGACAAATAGTTGGAAGATACTAGTATCTACAAAGAAGAGTTGTTGACCTAGAGGAGAATTTGGAGAATATAGTACTGATTCTTCTAAAAGAATAAAGGGGTGAACCAAGTATTATGTTCTCTACACAGAATCTGGTACACAGTAAATACTCATGAACCATTATGTGTGTATTTTTAACAATCAGTGTCTGAGACATAATTTCCTCTCAGACATCCTGTTAAAAATATCCTCTTCCTAAAAAAGCATGTACATAAATCTTTTACATGAGTTCAGTTAGAGTGGACAAATATAAATTTCAAAAATGGAAAAAGGGATTCTGGCATACTGGATATTAAAAGAAGAACAAAGCAACACAAACACTTTCTCCTTCTAATAGAGTCATAGACTTGGAGGGCAGGGATGTGCTTGGAGACAGAGAGTTTAGTTTTAGATGCACTTTTGGCAAAGTCTCATTTATGTGGTGTAAAGTAAGAAGAGCTGTATTTTAGCTATTTGAGACTCTCAAACTCAAAGGGAAGGCTTTGGAGACAGATTAATGCACTCTGCTGTTGATTGTGCTTGGGTCACTATTTTTATTTGTTATTTGAATAGAGCTATGAAAGGAATATGACAAGCCAGTGAAATTAGACTTGGGTTTTTATTATAGATCAGCAATGACTGGGCAAGAGAGCTACTTGTTGGTACGATAGGCAAAAGCTAACAGAATAAATAGAAAACATGTCACGGCTAGTGTCTAGCACTTGGAGATTTGTTTGTTGTTGTTGTTAAGTGCCGTCGAGTGGTTCCAACCCATAGCGACCCTGTACAGGGT